TCCTGTCCTCCAGCAGAAAAACTCCCAAGAACAAAAGACAGGACAGATCAAGAGGAGACGAAACCAAAAGAGAAAGAGAACAATGGGGTCACCTCTTAAACACCTTGATCACAGAGGCGCTGATTCACCTGGCCCTGGCCAGAGGGGAGTCCCAACTCCTACCTGGAGGGTGGGTGAAGCTCTCCAAGTTTCCCGGGAGTCATCCCTCACAGCTCTCCCCGCCTCTTCCTGCTTCCCAAACAGGCTCAAGAACCCATGACAGCTTTCTAGATTGCATTTGTATGCAAGTCCTTAACTGAAGAGGCAATTGCGAAGGCAATTGGAATTGCACTCTGCTTTGCCCTTTTCTTTAACTCTCTGGCCCCACCAGCAGTGATCGCTTTTGAAGTAAGGGAAAAGCTAGACTGCAGGTCTGTCTTCTGTCAGCTCTCTTGCAGAATTTAGATCCCTTCCTCTGCAGGAAGACTCTTAATTCTTCTGCCATTGGAAGATGCAATCAGAAATGTTGACTTCATATTCTTTACTAAAAGCTCTAATAGAAACTGGCTGACAGTGTACTCAAGTAAATGATACCATGAGGGTATTGTCCTAAATGTAATTTTCAAGTTACTTGCATGTTGTTTTCTTTAACATAATTCCTCAAAATAGCTTCATTGTTCTGTGGAGGATGGCAGCCTTTGCTTTTGTCTGCCTCACAGTGGGGAGAAAGAATAGAGTATGGAAGTAAGATAATAGCAAGATTCTTAATGTTGTTTTCTCCAGAACCTATTTTGTTTGTTTGTTTGTTTTAAATGCATAAGGTGACTTAAATTCAAGCAAACTGTTTGCTATGTGATTTCTTAGAAGAAATGGAATCTATACCACCTCATTATAAGCTTAAAGAATTTAGAGAAGCTTTGCTTTAAATAATTTAGACTCACAAGCAAAATGTTTTAATTCAAACAGTCATGAAACCAGGGGCTTCTACTAAACCTGGCTGTATAAATTCAGTCATCTGAGTTGAAGAGCTGACTCTTTATGTACACAGTTACTTATACAAGTTGCATAAAAACACCACAGAAAATTACCATTAACATGACAAGTTTATTTTTAGTAACTTAGCCTTCCGAAGATCATTAGTTATTCTAAAAGTGTTTGTGCCTACATAAAACCCTTTTCCTGTCCTGTTTGTAATTGCTGTCAATTTTCTAGTTTTAGTCAGGCTGCCGAGTATCAATTTGTGTTGAGTGAGACTAAGATGGGTATTGACGTGAACTGCTGCTCCAATGTTGGAAGTTCACCACTACTTACCTTGACATGACACTGACTTTCACATTGTTCCTCAATATCTACTGATAAATAAAAATATATGTCCCTGACTGGATAAAGCCCTAAGCAATGTGGTTGAATGTTATAGCTGACCCCGGCTGGAGGCTGAGGACCTCCTGATATCCCTTCCAACCCTGCTTATTCTGTGATACTTGTGTGTATATACATGTGTGAATGTATAAATGTGTGCGTAATATTTATGTATAATTTACACAGATACATTGATTTCAGATACAGCTATAATCAGTTTTCATTCTGCTGGTTTTCTTTGCTCAGTCTGCCACTAAGAAACCTCGGAAGTCTCCAGCAGACAAGGGTCGTTCTGAATCTGGAGCTAGAGGAGCAAGTCGTGGAAGAGCTAATGGCCACCCTCAGCAGAATGGAGAAGGGGACCCTGTCACTTTGTTTGAGGTGGTTAAGCAAAACAGGTAAAATAACTAATTATGTTTCCCCTTCACAATTCAGTAGTTCAGTCTAAGCTACACCTTTATAAACAATTGTGTTTTTTCATAATGTATATTGGTCCACTAGGCTGTGGGACAGAATACGCTCTGAGGGGTTTGGGGACTGTCATATATACCTCTGAAAGACAAGACACAGATCAGAAAGTCGTGTATTTCAAATTCTCCATTATTTGGTTAATTACTTCCAAATTGAAAATACATGTTGATATTAAGCAGTTCCGTAAGAAATATCCTGTAATAAGTTTTATATGAGTAAAAATGGTATGATATTAATGATGACTTCAAGGCTTTTTTTGTTTGTTTTTTTTAAAAAATACCTGCTGTCACAAGCAGTTCCAAGTACTTTGTGCTGCAGCTTGTATTTTTCTTGCTGTCCCCACCAGAGCAGCCGCACAAGGGTGTAAACTAGAACTCTAGACTTCCTCTGTGTCTGAGGAACAAAGATGGACACATCCTGAAGGCAAATTTTTCACTGTAAAATAAATATCTAAGATAGTTGTAGTGAGTTGCCTCTGGAAATGTTTCTTAGTCCTTTATGTTTTGGTGAATTTCAGAGGTCTTACAGATTCTGTTGGGCCAGGTGAGTCCCACTTCAAGAACCTCTGTAGAGGATTGGTTTTGACCGTACTTGCTACGCTATTAGTAAGCTACTGTGCTTCAGCTGTTGCTTTTGGCACTCAACGGAGAAACAATGAGCTCGAAACACTGTTCATCAGGTGCAGCGCAAAGCCAACAGTCGTTCCTACCGACGGATTGTTTAAGCAAACCTTCTTTACTGTGCATTTCAACAAAACAGACTCATGCAATATCAGTTAGTTTTGACTTTGTGGTGCTAACTAACGTGAAAATATTAGAAATGAGAAAAACTAGAGGCCAAGTCTTGTTTTTAATATTAATTTTAGTGTAGTGAAAAACTGAATCTAGTTAACTCCTAAAGGAATCTATTTGTCCAAATGAGTGAAAGCTGTTGAAAATTTTCTCTACGTCTCAAATCTGTGGAAGGTCTGAGATGTAATTTTAAAGAAATAATAAACAAGACGAGAATGAGAAATTTTATTCTTCATAGTCGCTGTATTTACAGTTATTCGGGATTGTCCCTTCTTATCTAGTAGGTGAAGACAGAACAAATTTACTCCTAACAAAGCTACAAATTCCGTGTGCCTCTTCTTCCTGCATGTTTTAAGTCAGGGCTTCTAACTTTGCTTGTTTTCAACACTTTTTCAAATTTCATTTTTGGCAGGATTCGAGGAAACATCTGGAGTTTATTTTCTGGTTTTACTGTGGTACAGAACATAAAATATGCTTTATGTTGTATGTTTGTCTTAGAGTTATTGATGTTTGCAGGAGCCAAATAAAAAGAAATGGGTGATTGCTTTGATACCTGATGACTCTGTGTGTGTGGAATTGACTTTGATACTTTTCACCTATTTTGAAAGAGATGCCATCGGGAGTCTTCTAAAAAGACATCATCTACATGTTTCTGTTAAGAAACGTTTGGAATTCAAATACGAAAAAATAGTTTCAATAAATTTGCCATTTGTATATGCATGTGTAGATAGGTTTTTGTCTGTGTGTGTGCGTATAATGTGCCCAGGCTACATGGAGTAGACGGCACATTTTAGGCAGTGGAGAAGTGATAAGTAGTAGAAGAATAGGCAAGCTTCTTTGGAAGCCTGCGACACAAACAGGCATAAATGACTTGAGACGTAATTTGAAAATGATGTGTCACTGGTGCACCTTCAAAAATCTTGCTACTGGAAAAATACAAGAATGAAAAGGAAGTAAGAAAGGAGGAATACCTATAATGGGAATGAGAGTGCAAGTAAAATGTGTTTTAATGTTTTTTAACTTGCACTTCTAGACAATAATCTTATGTGAAACTGAGGTCTATAAACCAAACTTATTAGTATCTTTATACTTTTATTTTTTTCTGCTTGGGGATTTTGGTGTAACAATTAGGAATTGACTTGGTGTTTTTGCTTTCCATAGTTTTAATGCAGATTTTTGTAGCAAATTTTAGCAATTTTGTCAGTATTGCAAATTTTCAGTCAAGTGCCATGTATGTGTGTCTCAGAACCTATTATTTCTCAGTATTTAGTTCTTTTTTTGTAATATGAACCTGCTTTTTTTATAGCGCTCTTCATAAAACCTTAGAAAAGTTAAATTAATATATTCTGAGATTACAGGGGAGTCGTGCTTTCATTTGTGATCTATCTGCTCCTGCTGTTTACTCTCAGGATTTATTTTAGTTGTTAAATTTTTCTGTCTTTGTGTTGCCAACTCCTGGAAGTCTGTAGCTGAATTCAATTCTCACTTCCTTTTTTGTCTTCTGTTCTGGTTCTCATTGCAGGATTCATTTGCTACTTTTCTTCAGGCTTATTGCTGTTTGGTTCTTCCAGGGAAACAACGTTAGATTAGTATTTTGTATTTCAAGTAAACATGACTTCAGAGCTGCTCTTTGCAAATAAATCTGTGCTTCTGTTACGCAGCGCGGGTTGCATTGGTGTTAAGTCTCATTTGAACTCTATAAATCAATTTGATACCCACTTTAAGTCGCTATCGGATTGGTGTCACTGTTTTTTATTTTGCCCTGCAACCTTTTACACAGTTAGTTGCTTCAGAAGATTTTCTGCCAGCACCACTCTGTGTATGAAGTGCGATACGACCCACTGCTGTCACCCAGAGAGCAAGGCTACTCCCTAGGCTGGCTTCTCCCAGGGAAGGAAGTCGGTAGTAGAGCAAACCCCAGTGACTGCTGAGCTTCATCAGCTGCTTCCTGACACATTCCCTGTGGCTTACGATTGGCTTTGCTTACTTCTTTTGAAACCTGGAATTTTATCTCGCCGTTATTTGATAATCCCAATATTCTTTCATCTTGCATAAACTAAAGCTGCTGTTGGACAGATTAGTCCCACCTTCTCCCACACTGATGTTTTTTTACACCTTTCTTGTGTGTTTTGTATTCATACCAGGAAATAGATTTAATTAGAACCTGATACTTTGGTGGATTTTTTCAGCTGAATCAGCTTCCTGGCAGCAGCTGAGACTTACCCTTGATTAGAATGCCTGTATAGCCATCACCATATTTAGGAGGAATTACATATATGTTTTCACATAGATACTTGAGCTTAAAAACATCAGAGCAGCTGTAGCTGGATCATACCAAAAGTCCAGTATCCTGTCTCTGACAATGGCAGTTAAGAAAGAGAATAAGGTGGCAAAAAAATGTATTTTAGGAATTCTTCCCACCTCTGTTAGCAGCTCAGGGTGACTGTGGTGTCTGGGTTCTCAGTAGCCTTTGTGGCTTTCTCTTCCCTGAGATTTTGTCTCTTCTCCCTACCAGAAGTCCTCTTGGCTGGATAGTGTCTCTGCATCTGCCTCAGCTGTTTCTGGGAGTCTTTGAAGATTAACAATATACAGACATATGATATTAAGTATTATCCATGGGTTTTTATTTATGTAAGGCATATTTTAGTTTAATTGTCCTTTGTTGTGTTTCAACACTGCTGTATTCTCCAACTTGAAGGATGAACAATAAGTCTGGATTTCCCCAGACTGTCTCAGAAACTCCTTAGAGGGGAATTCAATGTTCTCTCTAAAGTTTATAGGGTAAGATAACTGCAACTACTATTGCCATTTAAACTAGTGTTTTATTTTCATGGTGGTAAATGGATTTCTTCTGCAGTCTAATCTGGATTTGCTTTTGGTTGTATGCTGAATTAAAAGAAAACCAAAATCAAAACTAGGTACATGTCCTCCTACTTGTTAAAGTAGGAGCAATTTAGCCACCAGATCAATCATTAATTAATTAGAATGGTGTCTCCTAATACCAAATGAATTTTTCTGCAGTCATCACACAAGACTTCTTTTTGCTTGTGAATATGATGCGGGATGATTTTGCTGTTGATGTGAACACATGTGCCAGTAGTGCAGCGTGTTGAAAGCATCGCCATTGTACTTAACACTGGAGAAGCCTTTAGCTCTTCAGAATGTCATAATTTTTGAAGTGTCTGGAGTGATCTGTGAACCCTTCACACACGTGCTAGCAAAGGAACTTGATTTTTAAATAAATTGGTGGATGTTTCTTATTGGAATAACTGATTTTGTTTGTGCACTCTTCTAAGGATTTTTTTTATTTTTGTTTTCAGTGAGTACGAATATTTTTGGTGCTTCATAGCATCTGATGATTGGCCCAATTTAAAGGGAAACAGCTGCTTAGAAATTGTGTGACATGTCAGTTGTGAGAGATGAGCACCTACAAAAATTCTGTTACTTTAGTAGAATATCTGCTTGAGCAGTCCAACCATTATTTCTGAGGACTTGGGTGAGGAAGAGCAGCTCTGAGCGATGGAGATCTGCTGTGGCAAAAGTGCTCGTCATCAGTAGTTCCTGTGATTTTAATCCATCTGAAAGAAGAATTTTTCTAGTACCTTTTATGCACAGAAGTTTAATGCCCGTTAAGTTGTGCCGTTCTAATACTTTCATAAGATAACAAAATATTTTTATTTTTAGTAGTGTTATTTTTTTCTCCCAAATGGTTTCATATGTGCTACAGTTCTGTGAAGTGCCTAGCACAGATCTATATGGATAGTATGAATCTCGTAGTCCTACTTGGAATAAACACTTCTAGGATTGTAGCCCTTCCTTCTCTGTGCTTCAGGGAAAAAAAAATAATTATATAGGTAGAAATTGTGTAAAGCAGATTTCCCTGTCTTTGCTTATGACGAAAAAACAAAAAGCAGATACTGTTATGTTCAAGTAAGTTGGATTTTTTTAAAGATTAATTTTAGCTTTTCAGAGAGGGCTTGCTAGATATTAGCAAAGTGTGAATTCTTCCATAATTTAAAATTACAGTCTTTAGATTAAAAAGACTAAATTGCAACTTCTCAATCTACAGTTCTTTTTCATTAACTTTATATTGGGTTTTTCAGTGAGTGTGTATTAGACATACTGTTTGGCATGCAACCAACCAGTCACAGAGAAGTCTAATGTACGTTCTTAAATTCCACATACTTTCACATTAGGAACTACCTTCTCCCCAGTACCTGTCTGTTGTTACTTCCATCTTCATAAAATTTAACCTAAAATTTTATTCTTTAAAAAAACCACTAACCACACACAGATCGACTTAAAAAACCCTTTTGCGCAGAGCATTATTAATCTTTCACTACTTGCCTTTCTTTCCCGATATTTTTATTTTCAGTGTATTCTAAGTTCTTCTTACTGCCTGTTAAAGCATATTCTCTAGCTTTTTTCTTCGACTTGGGCTGCTCTTCATACAGATAATTGAAATCTTTGATTTCACTGTACATTCCTTTTTGTTTTTAATAAGCTTCAAACTTCATTTGAGTAATTTTGGCTTTTTGGTAGATGTTAGTATTTGATTTAGGTATTTGTT